CATTCAAATGTAATCCCTACTGGTTGGCCTACTTTGCTTATATTTCTAGTTTGAAAACTTGAGTTTAAATTAGATTTTGAAGGGCTACATTCTATTTGAACATACTGGCAGAGATAACTTATATTGACTCCCTTGATAAAATGTAAAAATATTTCTGCATATGAGTAAGCCCTGCTCTCTCAATCTGCCATTTATCAGTTTTCCTACATGTGAAGTTCGGGACATTAGCTTTGTTTTAAGTCAGGCCCACCTGCTTGCAGCCCTCAGATGGTCAGACCATCTTGGGAGTAAGAAACGAAATATTCGCTGACGTCTAAAGAGATTTAGTATCCCAGGAGCACTTATTAAGACTTCAGAATATTCCACTGAAATGCCACACTCTGGAAAACACCTGGAGAACTTCTCTCTCCAGGACCAAATGCCAATGCTGGTTAAAAAATAAATAAATAAAGGAAAAATAAAAAGAAAGAAACAATGTCAAGGTGGGCAATGCACAAAATATATACCTATGGTATTATACTATTGATTTTATGTAAGAAAAGTAACAATGTCAGTTTCAGTTTCAGTGCAAGGTATATGTGTGCATGGGAACAAATATTTTTGCTGAAAACACCATTATCGTCACAGATGTCCATATCTGGCAAGAAAAATAAATAAATCAGTAGCCTTAGGAATTATGACAAAAGATCCATGCTTTGTCTAGGTATCCTGAAAGTAGCATAAAAGATTATATTTACAGATGGATCTTTTCTTTTTTGTCTTATTTGAAGGAAGAACATCATTCATAATACAAATATTCGCATATAGGCTCATAGAAAAGGAAAACATAAAACAAGAGCACAAATCCTAACCTTTTAATAAAACTAAGGAAACTCAACACTAGATAATTAGAATAGAACTTCTCAAATGATCTTCGAAGAAGGGTCGGATGTTTTACCCCAAACTCATTACTTTTTTATGGATATGCTGGTATGCTAGAAAGATAAATTAGTAGGGAAACAACCCCATGCTTGGGTATCATGGAAATGTCATATTGGTATAAAAGTTTCTAAAGCACATTCTCTCTTTTTCTAGACGTTAACTCATGACAGACCATTGACACACTCTTGACAGGCCAGCACCAGTTGTCAGCCCACACTCTGCATAGTATTAAATCAAAGCAAGACACATGGCATAGCTGATAGAAGGCAAGCCCAGAACAAGGCCTTGAGAATAAAGGCATGATGACAAGTCTTTGAGCCTGCACTATCCTCTATGGAGAATGGCTCTCTGTAAGGTCACTTTTCCAGAACTGTGGCTAAGCACAACTTGCACCTGATTTAGTTCCCAAGCTATGAATATTTTTTACCATATCCCCATCTGGGCCTAGCAAACATGTGCATGAGCTCATGGGCACTTCACTCCAAAGTTTAAACAGCCTTTCTGTCCCTGGAGGAGCCAGGAAATAAAAGTAAAGAAATTCTTAGAACGCTTGGATTCCATCTCCATTCTAGATGAGACCCCTGGATTCTGGCATTTGCCTTGGATTCCTCTTCGAGATCTTAGCCTGAAAAAGGAATGGAATGTCTAGCAAGAGGAGTGGTAAATCTATAACGTCACTAGTAACTTGCACGAGAATAGCCACCCACTAGATTTTCTGGTGACATGAAAAGCATGCAAACAAATAAAAATGAAGGTTTAAAAATAGCATATAAAATACGATACCAATGAGAAACAATACAATAGGTGTGTATGTCTAGGTGGAATAAAAATTGTAAGACAGTACCCATAACTGCTATTGTCTTTATTTTTCAGGTAGAATAACAAGAGATTTCGTTTTGTATGTTTTTCTGTATATTCAAACTTCTACAATGAATACTTATAACTTACATTAGTGAAAAGAAGAATAAAAAAAAAAAAGGAGGGAAATGCATAAGGTTACTGGGCTTTTACAAGAGAATGATGCCAGCTCTTATTTCTCCTGGAGTTGGAGAGGGATGGCCTGAAAAAGGGAGATGAAGATCCTCATTTCTAATCACCCAAAGACTAAGAAAGAGAGGACTCAAGTGTTTCTGTTGCTTTTGAAGGCAAGAAGAACAAGATGCTAGAAAATAAAAAGGAGATGCGTGTGTGGGAAAACCAATGAAAAGAGAAGTGCCAGGGTAGTTTAGGTATGAATTCCACAACCTTCTCCATCTGTGATTTTAAAACTTGATGAGAATAGTACCCGCCAACCAGCCCAAGGACTGACTTCAGGAAGGCAGCTCTACGCTGTGGTCTGGAGACCAAGTTCATCAGCCTTGGGTAAGTCTACCCATCACTAATGTACAATACCTTAGAAAGCCTGGCCTCTCAACTCTACCCACAAAGTCAGGCATGTATTTCAGGAGTGACCATGGTGTCTTTAGAAACCAATAGCCCTGAGGAGCTAGAGAATCACCTCTCTTATTCTCCTCTTCTCTTCCTAGGTGCAGAAAGAAGGACACAGACACACAGAACAGTCCAGCCCTAGAAGGTGCTCACTGTTTACACTTGAAAGTCATCGATGATTAATGAGGAAATCATGCTATGTTTCTTAAGAGGTTGCAGGAGGAATAGGCAACAAAGGAAAAAAACCAGAAACCTCTAAATTCAAGGGAGAAGTGTGGACCCTGTGAAAGCTCAGAGGTGCATTACAGTTGTCCCAGAGAAGGTCTTTTGTGAGTCCCCTCCGGGCAATCAGTGACAGTTCTTGGAAGAGACACACTCCTGAATCATTGCAGACACCATGATGTGTGGAGCTCAGTTTCATTGGAAACCCAAAGACAAGAGGAAAAAAGTTATAACAAAGCCAACAATTGGACGCAGTAGTGCCGGAGAGCACAGTGCAAAGCATGTGGTCAGCCTTCTGCTGTTTGGGAAAGCACCCAAAAGGGAGGCACTAGCTTGAGACACATTTGGGCTTTTTTGATTTAGAATAATGCTAGAGAATTAACTTTGACCTGGGTATTGTATCTTAGCCATAAGATTCTCAGGACTTCCTGGCCTTAGGAACAGACATCCAGAAGACTGAAAAATGCATCTTTATGCTTCTAGCCTCAGGAGATGAGACACAAATGGAAGAATATGAAAGGTTAGAAAGAATCAGGAGAATGACTTATTTGTACTGGGGATGTCCATGGGGAGCATAAAAGCCACTTCTTGAGGATCATCCTCAAATGTAAGACTTATATCTCAAATATATCTAACTTCTCCTTCCCTTAATCGTTTATTTTAAATTTAATACCAAAAATGTATTTAAGTAAACATAGTGTGATCACCTCAGAGAGAAACTATGCTGAAACCACACACACTCACACACATACACCCCTTCTACAAGAGCATCACACAAAACCTTTTGTCATTGAGACCAGCAGTTAGCATAATGGCTATGTCACTGGACTCGTCCTGGACCCAGTGGCTTAAAATTCACGCCGGGCTCGTGTGCGTGTGTGCCCAAGATCCCGAGAGGAGAATGGAGGAGAAGGGATTGCGGCGTGGCCATCCCCCCTGGGGGATGATTTCTCGCTTTCTGTCTCTCTATCTCTGTCTGTCTGGCAAGTGCACGTGCCCTATAGCAAAAACCTTTTAAAAAAAAAAAGAAACTTTTGTCATTTGTTTTTCTAAATTTTCAGTTAAAAAGAAATCTGTAGCTAGGATGCCACTATGTATGGCAGGTGAGTGAGGTATGGGTAAATGTTGACTTTCTTTTGATTTTGTTTTACTTCCCCTTAGCTAAATTAAAAGTTTGTATGATATGCAAATAAGTACTTTAATTAATTCTTACTTTCAATGATTGACAAAAAGACTCACTGGCTATTTCTAAAACTTCAGTGCATCTGACAGAAGGATCGACAAACTATGAGCAAAAACACCCGTCCTGGCATGTGAATTCACTGCTGGGGCCCTTGATTTTATTAATTTTCTTTCTCCAGGCTCTCAGTCTCTACTCTGTGCTTGTTTCCAGCTCTCTGTGTGATTTGGGGCTATTTTGAGGCAGGATTTCGGTCGTTGGCTTCCCCAGTAGTAAAAGGTGTTCATAGGATGTAATCCACAAAGGATAGTGCAGCCAAGTCAAAGAGAAATGGTCTTAAAGAAGAAAACATCCCAAAATATGTGGAATTCTTGCTAAGATATGATCACTTGTTTAATTCCCAGAAGTTCACTGTCATGATCTATGATGCATTTTCCCACCAAGGTACAACACTGTGGGTCCTTAAGGCAGGCACTGAGGTATGGGACTGAGTACAGCAGTTACCACTCTTGGATTTACCTTCATATACATACTCCAACTACACTGGGGTCTACGGGACAAAACAAGGGCTTCCGTACACCTGGTGTGTATTTGTGTGTATGTGTATAGATGTTTATGTGTGTCTGCATGTATACAGTGACTTCTCTTCCAGAGACAGACTCTTCTTCTCCTCTTCTCACCAAAAATGTCTCCACAAAGCCCTTGTCTGCACTCTCTTGTGGTTTGTTGTGGTAATCTCCCAAGAGCATTCTAACCAGTGGCCAATTTTCTAGCAAAGGCCAGCAAAACTCAACCAAATGCTTCTGCAGAGTCAGAGATCCACAGGGCTGCCAGATCATGACTACAAGGCATTTTCACACAGAGATTACAGAAATCTGAGTGTCCTGTTCAGAAAGAGAGGAATACAGGGGAGAATATCAGCCCTATTCTGATCTCTACCCTGTTTGATTTAACCCTTTCCTAAGCTGAGTTATCGCCTACCCAACATTCCAAGCATTTCGATCTAGATTTCTTTTTTCCACATTATAAACCATTAAGGGAGGGAAAGTGTGTTTTTTGTCCATGATGGGATGAGAGAAGACCTGGAGAAAGAGTAAGCTTCAGGTTATTCTCATGTTTGGCACTTTGAGCCAGAGAAGCCGGAAATTCAAGGTAGAGGTTTCTGTCCTGGTGCCAAGTTTGTTTGCTATGATCAGACTATGGAACATTTCACTCCCTTAAATTTCATAAAAACATCTGTGGAACTTACCTGTGGCTGAAATCCTTTGAGGTCGCTGGCTGCAAGGTCACTGGCTGAAAGGAGCTGGAAAAGAACAAAGGTATTTTCCTTAGTGATAACTGGGTTTGCATACAGTATCCCCAAGACAACCAAACAGCAATGAACTTACCATAGCCTAGATCAGGGCTAAGAAGTATAATAGAATCACAAAAAGTAAATGTGCAGCTTCTGGACTAGGAATCCAGACTAAATGACCTTCCCATGTTGCATCTACTACAGCTATGACCTCCCCTCCCTGTTGCTGCTCTTCCCTACCTTATTTGTGTATGCTACAGTTCTTCAAAAGGTCTTCAGTTAGGAATTATGGGATATTGGCAGACTTCAGCAGACCCAAAGACTCCCTGAAAGTTTAATTACGTGTGAGCCTTTAGATGTATACATTTCCTTGGGGGGTGGGGGGAAGGTCCCTGTCTTTCTTCTTACTATCAAAATAGCCTATGACCCAACTACTTCAAAATTGATACTCAGGGCCCCATTGCCAAATGGTTAAAGAGCTGGATCCCACGTGGCTATTCATGGTTTCAATCCCAGCCCCTGTGGCTTGAAAACCACATCAGGCATATGTGCTTAAAATCCCAACTAGATGGAGAAATCAAGAAGGGATTACAGCATGGCCATGATCCAATGGGGATCCATGCTTTCTCCCTCATCCCTTCTCTTTCTCTGGAGAATACAGGTGTCCTCTAACAGTTAGAAGAACTAGAAAGATTTAAAGAGAATTAAAGACCTATGTCTTCTAAGAAAGTGTTTTATTTCTTCTCTCTTTCTCACTTATTAAAAATCAGATCACTACAAAAGACCATTTCTTCTTCCCACCTACATGTGACTCAGTTTCCCTGCATAATAGGTTGCCTGTTATTTTACATACTATTTAGGTGTCCCCATATTATGCTTCAAACAATCATATATTAGAGGGTAAGAGTAAGATTTCTATATTTTTTGCACCACTATGTTTAATCATTATTAAAAAGTAAGGTTAAGGTTTTAAAGAATTTTGCATCCTCTCCAGGGCTTTTTACCAGAAAATATCCAATAAAAACATGTGATTAATTAATCAAACAATCACTTTTTTTATTATTGCTTAAAAATGCTGGGCAAGTGTGGGATAAAGAGAAAAGGGGCAGATGCTTATTTTTATTCAAGGAGTGTGACTGTTAGCTTTGTTAGGCCTGGAGAGCACTGGTGAAAAATAGGAAAGATTTCATGCTTGCTATAACAATATTTTGTTTGGGTAGAGAAAGAGAGGGAGTCTTGCTGGGCTCCTTCTGCCTTCAGAAAAGCTCAATTGGACTTTTTGAGCTTACCTAAATAACTCTTCCAAAAATGATGCGTAAGTGGTGTTAAAACTGGTAGAGCAGAAAGGAGGTAAAGAACGGGAGGCTGTCCATTCTCCCTATACTCAGCCTTGCAGGTGAGATTCCCTATTCTGGCAGAAAGCTAGTCAGCCTTTCTATAATGCAGCAGCCAAGTAACAGCCCATTAGGCGACTAAACTTTAGGTAAGAAGAGCCCAAACATAATTGTGAGGTTTAGTCCCTTCTTTCAGGGAACCTGTATTTTGATCCAAAGACCAGACATGTGTATTTCAGCTTGAGCAGAGCGTAGTTGAATGCAAGCATCAAACTGTAAAGATAAGTGAAGAGAGGTCAGGTTGGGTTGCTGGCATAAGATGGAATTGAGACTCAGACACTGGTGCAAGTGGTAGGACACTACTATGTGAAGTTGAGACCACATGGAAGGTCCAGGTTCAGTTCTGAACAAACTTGAATAAGCTGGGCATGGCAGTGTGTGTCTACCATTCCAGCTAACTAGGAGGCTGTGGCAGAGGATTGCGATGTGAGACTCTATCAAAAGTCCTTCTCGGGACCAGCAGTTAGTGTGATGGCTATGTCGCTGGACTTCTATGTAGTTGACCACAGTTCAAGTCCAGTATCACACTGAGCACATGTGCGTGCATGCCCAAGACCCCAAGAGGAGAATGGAGGAGAAGGGATTTCAGTGTGGCCATCCCTCCTGGGTGGGGGGTGATTTCTCACTTTCTGTCTCTCTCTCTGTCTCCCTCTTTCTTTCTGGCAATAGCATGCGCCCTATAGCAAAAACCTCTCCAAAAAAAAAAAAAAAGAGAGAGAGAAAAAAACCCAGAAACTCCTTCTTGAGTTCTCTCTCATTAAAGGAAGGGAAAAAAAGATGGGAGCTTAAATTATGCCTTGAAAAATGGAAGGGTGAGAGGGTGAGGTGTTTTGGGGTAAGGTGGGAGCAGTTGGAAGAACAAAGACATGGAAAAAGGACTTGCCAATTCCAACATACCCCCGTTTACAGCTACTAAATGCTAGCCACGGAACTCCTTCAGGAGAAAGGGGTAAACTGTGATACATGGAGGATTCCCTGGGTACCCAGCACAATGGTTGCTGTTCATACGATCTTTCTAAGTCATACAGGTAATGCATGTATTTGGGATTTAAACTCCAAGCTATATTTTCCCAAAACTTTTTCTTCTATCATAAGGTGCCTCTGATTCATAGAATATTGGAGATTATTTGTCAAGGAATTGAGACATTCTAAAAAACCAAGTGCCATAACCTTAGATGAATGAGCCACAGCTAGTAACATAAAGCATGTGTCCTTATGAATGACCCTTAACTAACTTCTCTCTCAGACACTCTTTTATTTAATTTGTAATGACAATCCATTCGTCTGAATTTATGGAATGACTAGAAATAGAAATATGGCACTTTTCATATATGTCAAGTCTCGCGAAATTAGTATTTACTCCACATTCCCTGTAAAGGTTGGATCCTATTTTCTTTTTCTTAACAAGGAAGCAGATGTGTACAGTTTACTTTTTAATTCTTGAAAGTTTGGTTTGGAAATGGAGTATATATTTTCTCACCTAGTAAGATTATGCCCAACAAGAGCATGTTTGATAAGACTACATTTTTTTTTATTTCTTCAGAGAGAGAATGAGAGAGAGAGGGGAGGATAAAGAGACAGACAGCACCATAAGCAGAACCTAGACACCATAATCCACCCCCAACCTCTTCAGCCAGCTCTGGATTATGGGCAAAAATGTCCTCCGAGAACTCAGGGAGGTCTCCAGACTGGAACTGGGAACCTTTCCATTGGGATAGCCTCACCAGGCACCATGTTTTACCACTGAGTCACCGTCTGGTCCCACTATCATTTATATCTTACACAAATTCTGCTGACGTGTAGTTCATCACTACATAATCTGTTGATCAAATTACTTCAAAGGAAAGAGGAGATACTGCCTACCCAGAAGAGAAGACTAGAATGACTAAATTGCTAAGCCTAGGGAACAGAAATGCGAGGGCAGGCAGGCTTTAGACATCCTTTCAGGCAACAAAGGAAATGGCACTCCACTTACAGCATTGTGTGCATGAAGGAGACACTCAAATATCTGAATGAATGAATCGGCTCTGATGATGGAAACAAGCTTTTGTTTTATCTACTACAGTATTGAGAGAGTATTGGTTTCATTTCAGTGTAGAAATTGGAGGTTAAGCTTAAGGAAAAATAGTATCACAGTGAAAAAGGTTGAATAGTGAATTATTCCACCAAGAAAGAGAGAGAGAGTGAGAGAGAGAGAGAGAGAGCTAGCTCTTCCCTTCTTGCAGGTGACACAATAAATGTTAAGTGGGCCCACTACAGTTCAGATGTATTAGCTTATCTGATGACAAGTGGGAGGAGGTAGGGTAGTGTCAGGGACAGAAACCAAGTAACTTCAAAAACTCCAGAATTCCTTTTCCTGGAAGATTTCAAGTATTTCAATCACAATGTAGTGAGCTATAAAGGTATTTTCTGACTTAGGAAACAATCAAAGGCCAGTGTTGAAGCCATTCCTCTAAACAGGTCTTGAAAGAACAGCATGTCACATTGTCTTTCCTTCTCATCCAGCCAGGACACCCATCCTACCTAGCTCCTGGGTTCTACTCATGCTGTGATCAAACACATGAGCTCTTGGGCAAAACACAGGCTCTGCAACATGAACAGTCCTGAAGTCAATGATTATCTAGAATTCTATAGATTCTGCATCCAGGAGGATAGAAAGAACTGACCTGTGGGATTTGAAGTATGGTGCTTAGGTGTGGACTAGAAATCTAGGATAAGCAGGACAGTCATGAAGCCTACCCATTAAAGGAAGCTGGATCCCATATGACGGATCATGATTCAAGTCTCAACCTCGGTAGTTTGAAAAACATGTCAGGTGTGTGTGTGTGTGTGTGTGTGTGTGTGTGTGTGGGTGTGTATGTGTGTCCCAAATCCTGCCAGGATGGGGAAATGGAGAAGATAAAATTGAGGCATGATTATGTCTCAATGGGGAGAGGGGTACTTTCTAAGCTCCCCATTACTCTCTTTCTCTCCCTGGCAAATGCACATACCCTCTGCCAATTAAAAAATCCCAAGACAAGAAAGTCCTCTTGTATTTCAAAATCATTGGCAACCTATATCTGGACCACCCAAAATAAGTTCCAGTTTTATAGAAGGTAACTGAAGGTCCTTGTTGGGCTAAGGAGCCAGCTCTGCTGGATAACAGTGGTTAGGGAACATGGTGTAGACAATGGTTGGCCCGCACCCCACCCCCATGTCTAATCACTCTCCCTTAACCAGAGTAGCTCAGCTTTTTCTTGTTTCTTGTATGCAAGTACATTTGAAAAATGAATGTTCTGCCACTAAAACTAATTTTTAAAACGCTTATTTTGCAGAAGAAGCTGGTAAGTGCCATTTTCAAGATCACTTTACTAGTTAACAACAGGCTTGGGTGGATCCCTTAGTCCCAGCCCCTCTGCAGAAACACCTCTGTGAATGACCAGGTCCATCAAGTCCAACCCGATATCCTGATGTAAACTGCCACTGATTTCTACTCTGAAAGTGGACAAGATGTGCTCCAGAATACAGGGAAACTGAGGCATGGTTCAGAAGAGATAAGCATGCTTCTTCTGAAACCTTGAAAGGCACTGATCTAGACTTCTCAATCCTGCCCCCTACAACTGGCATCCTGCTCCA